ATTTTGCATACACATTGATGTTTTTGTTTGCACGTTCATGTATGTGCGTACATGTTTTCAGATATCAACGTCCGTGTGTAACCGCCTTAAGGCCTTTAGAGACTGATTTTTATGATTTTTGCTTTATTGGATTTGTCTTTGTCCATCCTACGATAATAAATCGAAAAAATCCAAAAAAAAAAATACAAAAAAAAAGATATTTTACTTATTTATGAAAAAAACTCACTAAGCCCACATACGGCGCCATCTCTTATAACCGATACCAAGTTTACCGTCACATTTTCATTGCAAACCATGTGGATTTTATTGTCACACACTTTGCACAAAAACAATTTGAGGAAAGCACTTTATTTTTAATTGTTCTTCACAGTAAAAATGTCCAAAAATAAATAGAATGCCAATGTTTTAATTGTGTATTTTATTTTGTTGCTGGTTCGTTCATTCCGAAAGAGCGCGAACTGGTCTCCCTGTCATTTCTTGACGCTTGACCATTGACGTTCTGTGGCTAAGTTCCGTTTCTCCTCTTAGGCTCCCTTGACAGCCGTGTTCCGTGGCGACTGTTCGGAGTGCTCCGTCCGGCTGGTGTCGAGTGGCAGAGAGCCAGATTATGAGTCCGCCACAACCATTTTGTATACGGCGTCATATATGATAGGTACCTAGAACGAAGCTCGCCGTTGCGCGGTAATTTCATTGCAGATACAGTAGAACAGAATACTGCTAAGGAACTGGAGCTATTCTGAACAGAACTATTCTACTATTCCGATCAGATAAAGTGGTGCAGAAAGAGTAGATCAGATAGAATAGTGCAGATACAGTAGAACAGATGGAGTATTGCAGTGCAGATAAAATGAAACAGGGCTGCGCTGGAAATTTTTTTTTGTTTTCTTTACATTTTTTTAACATTCTTTTGCCTGAGTTTATTTATTTGGTGGTAGACTTTATAAGAATAATGCCCACAAGATGCCTAAAAAGGGATGATGTAAAATTTTAATTTTAGGTGACTTCTGATCCATAGAGTAAAATTTAATTTTCTTCAACCAAAGCCAAATTCACCATAGAAAAAAACTGAATTTAATTCAGTTAATAAAATCTGTTTTTTTTTTTTAAAGATAATTCCCCAATTCAAAAATTTAGTAACTATGTTGGCAACACAAGCCTTTTCTACATAAAAATTTTGAAAACATTGACAATTTTACATTGTATTGCGAACATAATGTCATTTTGACTTTTATCTTTAAAAAAAAAACGCACTTTAGATACGTTAACACAACATTTAGTAGGTATTTAATAATTCAGAGGAGGAACGAAGTTCGCCGGGTCAGCTAGTCTAGTAATATTTCTGGTAATTTGCCATTTCATTCCAGCAAAATTCTGGTATTTTCGCATTAGCAATCAATAATCCATTTTTCTTGAATTTATTGCCGTTTGCACCGTCCATTTTGAGGGAGGTTTAACATTTAACGAAGAACGCTTAAAAGTGACATTTTCACATGTTAGAGTTTGACATTAGACATTTGAATGTGAAATTTTAACCAATAGGAAAGAAATCCGCAAAAAAAAATCGCTATTTCGCGTCTATGGAGACTAGTCTTAAATAGTTATACCAAAGGTTACCAATATACCTATTAGGGCCGGTTTATTCACTTTCTGATTTCTAACTGTCAGGTATGCAATCTGACCCACATAAAAACGAAATTTGTTATCCCATTGGTTGACCAGTTATCCGCCGACCAATAGAATTATAGAACGGTGCACTTATCTTGCAGATGGTTACCAAGAAGCTTATCTGAAGATGAACAAACCGGGCCTAAGTATGTTTACCAATATCAATTTTATGTTATACAGAATGGATTTTTTTAACAATAATGTACCTATTTGTTTATCAGGGCCGTAGCCAGGAGGGGGCATTGGGGGCAATGCCCTATCTTTTAAATGGTAATGCCCTACCTTTAAAAATCAACATACCTACATTAAGGTTTCTTTAGAAAATTTAGGAGTAGATGATGCCTGAAGTAGATAGGCCTGAAATCGAGTAAGCGAGGATGAATGTTTCCGAAAATGCCTAAATCTAATGAACAATGTTTGCACAGAGGAAGTTTTTTTTTTTTGTTTTGAAAGAATGCGAATGGCCCAGGCGGCCGGCGCGAAAATCCGCGCCATTTTGTTTACTTGCCAGATATGTTATTTATTGCAAAGTTGTTTGATAAAGGCGAGAGAGGTAGGATGCCTGGTAACTTTATGACGTCATCTGGGGTGCCTCAACATAATGCAAATCTTTATGAGGTATCCCAAATCAGATGCGTCATCAAGTTACCCATTACCCATACTTTACCATACATTATACATACCTTGATGCGTCATCCAGTTACCAATTACCATACAACCTAAACCTTGATTTATTGAAAAATTTTGTTTACCTATACAAAATTTAGGGGGGTGGGGGGCAAGTATAGTGTATGCCCTATGTCGAATTTGTCATGCCCTATCTTAAATTTGACTCTAGCTACGGCCCTGTTGTTTATAGGTATAGGTATCCTGTGCATACCATACAGGGTGTCCTTAGATAAACTGACACATTTTGTAGGTAAATATCTCGAAAACGGGAAAAGATAACGAGATGCGGTTTGTTCTGTGAGAATAGGGATTTTCAAAGTTTTTTTCCTCATTATTGCCGAATCCTGAAATTTGCTGGAATTTGGTTTTACAGACATGCGATTTTTTGAAATAAAATAACTGCCTTATTTTTAATGAAACACCCCGTATCTTTTGTCATTGTCAGAAAGCCTGATTTTTCTACTTTACAAAAATGTATAATTTTTTTCAATTATCTTGAACTTGCATCGTGAAAATTGCACGTTGTCGAAAGGAATACCATCGACTAACTAAAAAAAAAAAATGAGATTCAATTTGTGTTTAATACTTTTAATAACTAATTAGGGCATAGTTAACTATAATACAAGAATTGAACACAAATAAGTGCATTTAAAACACAAATTAATTCTTATAATTTTTTTTTTGTCCAGTCGACGGTACGTCCTTCAACCAAGTGCAATTTTAACGATTCAATTTCATGATAATTGAAAAAAATTAAACATTTTTGTGGAGTAGAAAAGTCACGCTTTCTGATGATGACAAAATATACTGGGTGTTTCATCAAGAATAAGGCAGTATGTTATTATTTCAAAAAATCGAATGTCTGTAAAACCAAATTTCAGGATTCGTCAATATCATGAAAAAAAACTTTAAAAAATAAAAAATCTTTATTCTTCCAGAAAAAAACGCATCCCGTTATCTTTTCTCGTTTTCGAGATATTAACCTCTAAAATGTGTCAGTTTATCTAAGGACACCCTGTACATTAGGTATGCAGGGGCGAGTTCAACTTTTGTTCAGCAACAAAAGACCTAGTAATATTCTGGTATTAGCAGGATTGAGAAAAATCTAGTAATATTCTGGTATTCCAACTTTTATAATCTGGTAAAATGGCCATTCATATAGTTGGCAACACTGGTAACCGCCTCAAGCCCGCGCGGGCCAGAATGTGTACTTTATGCCCGCACGGGCATAAAGTGATGAATTATGTAGATGGTATCCAAGGTATAAAAAGACAATAATGTACTGGTATGACATAATAGTAGATTATACCACGAGTCAATAATGATAGCTATTATTCCCGAGGATTATTACGAACTGAGCCGCGTAAGCGGCGAGGGAGTAACATTCCGAGGGAATAATAGCCATTATTGCGAGTAGTATACTCTACTTTATTTACGACAAATTAATTTATTCGAGATTTTCAATGAACAAATTTCATCCGTCTCATAATTTTCAATACAAATCCACAAGCACTACACGTTTGACACTGACACTTTTGTGGAATAATGACCATTAATCCCGCTACTCGTCATTAATCCCTGGAGGAATAACATATGTCATTATACTGCCAAAATCACAAATATAATACGCACATTATACATTAGTCGTAAATAATAGTTATTTATGTATCAAGGGTACTAAGTAGATGATTATGCCCTGAGGGCGACAGTCTTACAACGCCGAGGGCCTCTGGCCCGAGGGTTCGTAAGTCGCCCGAGGGTATATATATCTATTAGTACCCGTGGTGCATACAAACTTTTATGTCATACCAGTTAGTTGTGAATATTAAATACCTGGGAAAAAAGTGTCACTTCGCAAATTGTCATCAGTGTGCAAACATCATCATTTTTTGACAAAAATAATATGTTTATAAGCGTAAATTTATACCCGCACGGGCATAAAGTAATGAATTATATAGATGGTATCTAAGGTATAAAAACACAATAATGTATTGGTATGACATAAAAATCTTTTTTTACTACTAACCTGAGAAATAGACATTATTCAATCTATTTTTCTAAGAAAAAATTGAATTTCTCTCCCTAGGTTAATAATGAAAATAATGAAAAAATACCTAGGTCAATAATGAAAATGACGTCATGACGCAAGGATATTGTCGTGTTTCTATTGGTTCAATTTCAATTTCATACGTCAAATTGAAAAAAAATACAGGTTTCTGTAGGTACATAGGAAGTTATATAAGCTGTTGATAGAAGGCAGCACTTTCAAGAGGGCGTCCACAAAAAATAATTAGAGCACAGATTTTAAACAAATTTTTCATTTTCTACTAGCAGTAGTAAAAAAAATTCTATATATTCCTCGGTAGAGAAAGTCATTATATACCTCACGCATTATAAACCTCGGCGCTGCGCGCCTCAGTTTATAAAAGCTTTCGGTATATAATGACCAACTTCTCTACCTAGGTATATAATATACTATTTTTTACTACTAACCTGAGAAATTGTCATTATTCAATCTATTTTTCTAGGAAAAAATTGAATTTCTCTCCCTAGGTGAATAATGAAAATAATGAAAAAATACCTAGGTTAATAATGAAAATGACGTCATGACGCAAGGATATTGTCATGTTTCTATTGGTTCAATTTCATTTCCATACGTCAATTTGAAAAAAAATACAGGTTTCTGTAGGTACATAGGAAGTTATCATAAGCTGTTGATAGAGGGCAGCACTTTCAAGAGGGCGTTCAAAAAAAATAATTGGAGCACAGATTTTAAACAAATTTTTCATTTTCTACTAGCAGTAGTAAAAAAAATTCTATATATTCCTCGGTAGAGAAAGTCATTATATACCTCACTCATTATAAACCTGGGCGCGAGCGCCTCGGTTTATAAAAGCGCTCGGTATATAAGGACCAACTTCTCTACCTAGGTATATAATATACTATTATTTAATACGGGAATACAAAAATTATGTCATTTATTTCTAAAACTGGATCATTGGTAGGCCGGTAGGGGTCCATAATTTGAACTTTATTATTGTCGTCAACACTCGAGAAGTGATCCATATGTTCCTGTGTCTGAGACCATAAATAAATAAATAAACAGGTTGTTTCGCGAAAACGCACCGGGACTGGAATACGGTTCAGAAATTCCCGAACAGATCACCGGCTCGCGAAGAAATTACCTTAGGTTTCCTAACCTAAAAATTTGAAACAAAAAAATATAAATAACTTGTCACTATCTTGCCAAAAAATACTTTCCCTTTCGAATAAATTTCCAATTTCCCAGTGCTCATAAGAAATGAAATCCGGTCCGGGTTTACCTTGACTTGCAATATAATCTTTTGTGTGTTCATCAACCGCAACTTGATAAAAATTTATGCAGTGTCATAGATGATTATTATTGCGCAATTTACATATGTGTTTGTATCGTATAGATAACCACTCTTTAGTATTTATAATTGCCTCATTCGACAGCGTATTTAGTTCGCAGTCTACGGTTTAAAGTGTTCGAGTGCAAAAATGGGTCTGCTCACAGAAGGTACACCATTGACATGGGAGGAAACGAAAAAATTAGCCGAACACGTACGCGAACACGGAATAATTCAATTTATCAATCTGTACAAGAGACTTAAAGAGAGGAAAGGTGACGTGCTTAAATGGGGCGACGAAATTGAATATATCATCATTAAATTCGACGATGAAAACAAAAAAGCCAGAGTGAGTTTACGAGGCGAAGAAATTCTGAATGTACTTAATCAGGAAGAACAAAATCATCCGGACACTGTTAAGTGTTTGTGGAGACCGGAGTTTGCTGCTTACATGATCGAAGGGACTCCAGGGCAGCCCTACGGTGGTACACTTGCACATTTCAATGTTGTCGAGTCTAATATGAAGTTGAGGAAGCAGGAGGCCACTGAACTGTTGAAAGATAAGGAGTATTTGATGTCCCTCACTAGTTTTCCTAGGTAAGTCAATAATGCATTGATATTTATTTGATTATTTGAGAGATTTGACAAATTTAAAAGTGCCCAAGAAAACACAGTATTGAATTGTCAGGACATTATTGAATTTTGCAGTCCTGTTTTTTTTTAATAATGTGAGTGGATGAAAAAAACCCTATTTAATAACTCTTACAAGTTCATTATGTGCAGAGTTTATTGTTCACTTACAACCCCCTACTCCCTCTGATAAGCCAAAGTTTTTTTCTATTTCTTTAATTTTTAAGCAAATGTTTCACTAAAATTTTGATGGAATATTGGGAACCAATCAAGAAGACGTTGAATAAGACTTAAAACAACCTACTAGCCCCTGTGGTAAGGAAAATAGACAAATAAATTGGAAGAAAAACTTTTCTATTAAATTCAAATGCTTAAATTTTTATAAAATAACAGAGAGTACTTAATTCAAAATTTGTTGAATGATTATGTTTTGTCAACCTTAGTAGCTGGAATCAAATAATAATAACCCACAATTATTATCACGTATTAACAACAGAAAACATAGAAGACCTTGGGGCTACATTAACTGAATTAATCTTGTTTATTAAAACGATCCTCGAAACCATCACAACTACTTACATTTCGAGTTACTTACTTGTTTATCTTATCGTAATGTGTAATTAATTTCTGTCATTTATTCAGTAGAATATGTATTAATAGTATATTTTCTAACTGGTGCGGAAAGTACCACTTTTCCGCATGTATTGCAGTTTGCCAAACGACGCGTAGCAGAGTTTGGCAAGCAATCAAGTTACGAAAAGAAACTTTCCTCGCGAGTTAGAAACACTATTTTTTTCTACGAGATGAAAGTTAATATTTGTAATAAAAATAATAATAATAAATTCTTTATTTCAAATCATATAAAAAGATAGGTATATTTCTTGTATGTGGTACATGAAAACATACATATACAGTGTGTCCACTTAAGTTTGCAGCATATGGGAAACTTTTTTATTATCAATTTTACAGAAAAAAGTTACCTATTCTCCATAAAAGTTTCTGCTTCTTAAAAAATAATATTAAAATATTAAAACATGAAATAGCATGTACAGGGTGGTCCAAATTGGACACTTTCTTATGGAAACACCCTTTATTTTTAGAGATAGAAAAAAATGGACCCCCCACTCTGAGGCTCAAATTTCATGAAATTTTGATTGGTGCAAACCGCATTTTGATATCTTCAACCGTTTAGGCGCTTTGTCATAAGAAAGAAATGTGTAAGAAAGAGACCTTTCCCAGTTTCCTTACAGAGATAAAGTCCTTTTCCAACACATTGTGACAAAAACCGAAATAATTTTTTTTCTCGAAAACTGTTAGAGATAAACCTATCAAACCTTGTATCATTAAAATCAGCGAAAGCATAGCTTTCTAATGAACTATTAATATATAGAGTGTCCTATTGAAAAAAATCGGATTTTGGTCAATATCTCGAAGCCAGACAAAAAAAAACTGAGAATGTCACTGAATTCTGCTTGAAAAAGTGCTTCCAAAAGATCCCTACGGAAATGAATTATTTTCACAAACAAGAAAGTTATGGAGGCTTTACAGTATTGCTCAAAATCGAGAATCGCCCTCTAGTGGCTAAACGGTTGAAGATATCAAAATGCGGTTTGCACCAATCAAGATTTCATGAAATTTGAGCCTCAGAGTGGGGGGTCCATTTTTTTCTATCTCTAAAAATAAAGGGTGTTTCCATAAGAAAGTGTCCAATTTGGCCCACCCTGTACGGGGTGGTCGTACAATGTAACAATATACAGGGTTTTTCCTAAGTACAGTTCGTAACTTCAGGATGGGTTTTTTTTTTTTTTTCAAGAAGTTTATTTTTGACCTTTAAAAAGCTGATACCAAGGTCCGAGCCAAGGCCCAAGTCTTAACATATTTTACGAATATAACTTCATTCATATGACATTGTACCAGGTGTCCCACTAAGGTCGGCCAGGTACGATATTATGGAAACCATAGACCTTACGGCTTCGGGATTTTTTTTTTCTTCACTAAATCGGCCAAGAGAAATTGATGGAAATTATTTTCAAGTTTCTAGGATGACCGCTAGGGGGCGCAATTACGATGATATAGCTAAAAATTCAACTTTTCTCAAGAAATCGCTATATTAAGATACTGTTTCAACAACAGAAATCAAAAGTTCATTAATTTTTGCGCCAGTTTGGTTATTAGGCTTTTTTTCGTATCTTCAGTAATAAGGGTGGGGGAAGCTGGTGAATTTTTTTTTTTTAGAAATTGCTGTATCTTCCATACCCCTCAATCAAACTCATTCAATTTGGGTTTATTTGCAAGAGAATTTCATTGTTATCAAGAACACCACTTCGTTCGAGGTCGATAGTGCCCACCGCGTCTTCTAGAGGGCGCTGTTTATTGAAGATACAATTTTTTTCTAATTTTCATGAAAAATCCAAATGGCATAATATTATTTTTGAATTGCTGTGCTTAAAGAACAAAAAAATATCTACATTTTGGCGCAAACCGCAATTCAATATCTGCATTCGTTTTCAAGTTACGTAAGGTCTATGGTCTCCATAATATTGTACCTGGCCGACCTTAGTGGGACACCCTGTATGTGTAACATGTAGGTTTGATTTAGTGAACAGAAAAATATTGTATAAGTATAAATCTCGGTATAAATATAAATATACCGGGTGTTTTTCAAAACCCGCTCACCCCTATAACTTTTTTATTTTCAAAAATAAACAAATGAAATTTGGTATGCTTATTTATGACCCGAAAGTGCATTATTTGACGTATTCAATTATTTTTTATCACTTCCGGTTTGACCGGAAGTAACCGTAACTTTCTTATTTTAAATGAGACACCAGGTATATTTTCCCTTATTTCAATAGAAAACTACATTACGAGTACAACACCTCATTTGTCACTTTTTGACATTTCATCTTCGAATTATTTAAATTTTCACTTTTTAATCTAGAGCGCCATGAATTAGTTAAAATGCTTAATTTTGCTCCAAGGAACCTGGGAAAATTTGTTTTGATCTTATTTTGTATTTTATATCCTCTACAGACTCATTAAAAATAGTAGAAGTGCATTTTGGTAATTATCTCAATTTTTTCAAATGGAAAGGGCTTACAATATTCCAAAAGAACGTTTTCTAACAAGTAATCCAGTACCACACAATCACTACTTCATCATCGCTAATTGCTCTCAATTTCTTGTGATTCTAGAACTAAATCATCAAAGTTAAATTTAAAAGTTAAAATATTTGTTTTCTTAGAGGAGCAAAGTAGGTGTGAGTCACACCTACCTGAGGGTTGTGTCTTGTTTGCCTGATGGAGCCTTGCGAGCTTTCACAAGAGCTATAGATAGTTCGTTTCTGTCAGGCGAATTTCCTGTGTGTCTCAAACAAGCTGTGGTTATTCCCTTGCATAAGGGTGGAGATCACGACACGCCGTCAAACTTCCGTCCAATAACGCTGCTACCTATCATGACTAAATTAGTAGAAAAGCTTGTGAAGATAAGGATGTTAGCCTTTCTGGGTGGACTTGGACTCCTGAGCGCCCAACAGTTCGGTTTTCGAGAGGGGATTGGCACTGGCGATGCCATTTTCAGTTTCCTTGAGCTACTCTATAAGCAGTTGAATGGTGGAGAGGTAGCCTCGGCTGTCTTTTGTGACCTCTCCAAGGCGTTTGACTGTGTGAATCACGAGATACTACTGTGGAAGCTTGAGCGGTGTGGTTTTCAGGGTGGTGCTTTGAGGTGGTTTCGCTCCTACTTGTCGGGTAGATCGCAGACCGAAAGATTTCAGGATGGTGAGTCAGAACGCATGAACATCAATGTTGGAATCCCACAGGGACCTGTGCTGGGACCCATTCTTTTTCTGATTTATGTCAACGATTTGCCCCAACTCCCAATTTCAGGAAAGTTTACTCTTTTTGCGGACGATACGACAATCTTGTGGCACGGCTCAGATGTGGAGAAACTGAATAATGACATTAATGCAGATTTGAGGATGGTGAAGGACTGGTGCGACTCCAATTTATTGTCTTTTAATGTTTCGAAAACCAATGTTTTAAACTTCAAATGTGAACTGGAGAGTGTTTACCTGGAGGAAAATCCTGTAACTCCACAAAACCACAACAAATTCTTGGGCCTCACAATTGATAAGTCTCTCAAGTTTGACGATCACATTTCTAATCTCCGTAAAAGGGTTTCTTCGGGATGTTATGCCTTAAGAGTGATATCGAGGAGTTTGGATGTCTCGGTTGCTAAGAATGCACACTACGCTTTGGTGGAATCTCACCTACCATATGGCCTAAGCTTTTGGGGTTGCTGCACCCGTTCACTTTTTGATTCAGTGTTTCTGCTTCAGAAGAGGGCAGTCCGTTGATATTCAGAGTAAGGACTCGTGATTCCTGTCGCCCTCTTTTTATCAGTCATGCTATCCTTACGCTTTATTCGATGTTTATAATGGAAACGGTGTGCATGATGTTCAGGAAATACGGGGCTGAGAGGGAGGCGGACAAACACTATAATACTCGTCAGTCGTTTCTTCTCGGCTTGCCCATACCTCATTCCCAACTGGTAAAAAAATCATTTATATATATGAAGGTAAAAAACTTTTCAATCATCTTCCAATTGAAATAAGAAAGCTTGGATGCTACAAAAGTTTTAGGAAACAGGTTAAGGCTTTTTTGATTGATAAAGCATACTATAGTCTCGAAGAATATTTTAATGAAAGGATAGTAACTGGTTGAGGAATATTGTACCTTTGTTTTTGACAGCGAGTGGCAATGTATGTTTGGTATCGTTTCTTTTGTAGTGAGTCAACTTTTATATGTAAGAAAGGCAAATGTTATTTTTTTTTTCTATATTGTTGCGTTGCGTGTTGTACGAGATTTTATATTTTTGTCTGTGTCTTAAGCCTTCAATATGATTTTCACGCCATGATAAAGTGTTATCGTCTGCAAACGAGGTTAACTTAGCTCTGATGGGAAGATTATTTATGTCGTTTAAATAGAGCAAAAACAAAATTAGGTCTAACACAGATCATTGGGGAATGCCACTAGTTTCAGCTAATGCAGACGATTGCTTCTATATTAAAAAAACCTTTTGTGTGCCGCTGTTAGTAGCCCAAAACATGGCATACCTCAAAATGGTTTCAAAATTTGCATAATATGTAAATCATTCATGGATTTCTCCAGTACCTTCCCATAACCCTAATTCCATAACAAATCGAGTTAAGCTTTTGCATTGATCGCTATATCACTTTGCCTACCTCTTCCAATTTTATCTGGGTAGTCATCGTTTTCATGGCTTCTTTAGGGTGATTTTGGTTTTCAACGATAACTGTTTCATGTCTTTTTGTTGTTTTCGGTGTTGTTCATTTTTCATCTTTTTGTTCTGGTGGGCTGGGGTTTCTATTATTGTTGTTGAAGATTTGTTGCATATGTTTTTCGTTTATTATTTTCCTCCATTTTAAAGGACCATGCATGGATCTTATGAGAAATAATAAATTTCACGATTGTCATGAAATTGAGATATGTTATGCTTCTCGTCCTCCTGAACGTATGTTCTCATAGGGCCAAAAAGATCCTATGATTAGTTTCGGAGATACAGGACCGATAAAAAAAAGTAGTACAAAAAAAATCTCCAGTACATTAACTTAATTCATAACCAAAAATGACATATTTTTGGCATTTTTCGACAAGTTTTTAACCGTCAAAGCTTCAGATGACATCACTTTGGCATTTTTCCACCCGTTTTTAACCTAGAATATGTGATTGCCTGAACTCAACATTTGAAATGTGCATTTTTTGTCAAAATTATGTATGTTAACCCGGCCCTGTATCTCCGAAATTAATCATAGGATCTTTTTGGGCCTACGAGAACTTACGTTCAGGAGGTCGAGAAGCATAACATATTTCAATTTTATGACAATCGTGAAATTTATTTTTTCTCATATGGTCCGTGCGTGGTTCTTTATCCTGTATATTGCTTTGTTGAAGTCTAAATTTTTGTTCTTCAGTTGTAATTTATATGTTTATGTTTTTTTCTTCTTTCTTATTCATTATCTATGATATTTCCTGTAAAATCTGATAAAACTGGGATATGAATATGATTTTTTCAGATATACAGTCGTTTGTCAAAGAGTCATGCAAATCTATTTTTTCAGTTTTGTTTCCATCATCACACTGCCGTTTCTGGGGTTTTTCTTCTGGTATACCTGTGTCAGATGTTTGCCTTTTGTTTGGTTTTGTTTGTTTTGGTCTGAACACTTCTTCATATTCATTGTTATGTTCCGCACTCGAAACGTTCTTGGATGACCCTGTTAGCGACGATTGGGTTGTTTGTTTACTTTGTGTTATCTCGCTCACTATTTTGCTGCTTGGAATATCTGTATTGTGTCTCGGCATTGATTGGTTGAGTTCAATACAATTTCATTTATATCGGATGCTGTTAATTTCGTTAATTGCATGCTTCCCAGTGAAAAAGATCGATTTCTTATGGCTTCTTCGAGGCTTGATGATCTATTAGGTTTACCACCTCCACTATTTTCACTTTCACACATGATTTTCCAATATCAATCAACCTCGAAATACCACTGAAAAAGTATAAATTTTATGGAACAAAATTAATACGCGTGCACGTCGTGTGTCGTAAAGATAATATCTTCACCTACAAATTTACCAATTTCAGATATGCGGATAAGTAAGTGGTTTCATGACCTAAAATGCACGCTCATAGAAAATCCAATTTACAATATTCAGGGTGATAAGAAAATGGCGCATAAGCTCTTCACTATACGTCGTAGGGGACTTCTTCAGGGAACCCCAGTCAGTCTTTCGCGAAATGCCTTTTCGAAAATCTTCGAGAACACCGAGAGGAGGGCAATCGGCCTATAGTTTTCCATTAATGATAAGTTTGTTCCCTTTTTTATGGAAAGGGGCAACGACCGCGCTTTTTTCAGGTTCTTTGGGAAGTACCCGTGTTTAAAAAACATATTTATTAAATATATTAATGGATGCACAATATTTTGGGCAGACTTTTCAATCAGATTGCAAGGTATTTCATCAATACCACATGACTTTTTTTTGCTGACCAATTTCAGAATTTCAAGAACCTCTAAGTCACTCAGTGGTACATTTGGGAATTGCTGTTGCTGTTTGGCAGATTCATGACCGGACTCAAGCCTGTTTCAGTGCTGGCGATGAGCTTTTCTACAGACTCCACAAAAAATCATTGAACGCATTTGCTATGCCTATCGTTGCTATCGGATCAGTAATTGCAGTATCGCTTACCATAATGTTTTCAGCTAGGGGCCTTTTAATGTTCTTTGGGTCATTTGTATGAGAGTTGATGATCTTCCAAGCCTTCCTAAGTGATGTTGTCCGATGGTTATATCCTGTTGGAGTTATAGAACTTTTTTGCCTCAGCAATATTCATTTTATGTGCTTTAAGTTCATTCCTGTGTCGGATTTGGAGCCTATGGCTGCCTGATCTTTTCACTTGTAGATGAAGTTTTCTCAGTTCTGAACCCTCCTTTATTAACTTTGAGGTTATTCAGGAATTTTGTTTCTTTCTGTTGTGATTGCTTGTCTTGTTTGTTAAGGGAAATGTCTATAAGAGATTTTTCTTTCGATAATAAATATGTAATTGAAAAAGTTAATGTTTTCTTGCGAGAAGCACCGAGATTGGCGCTTTAGGCTATTACACTCGCTTTTGCCCGAATTAAAATGCAGTATTTGTGCTCTCTGTGATCTGAAAAAGTCAGATCCAATGTCCTTGTCAAGGTTATATTAGCGTTGGAAAAAACATTATTTAGTACAGAGCAAGACCGAACCTGGATCCTTGACGCTCCAAAGAAAGATTGTGAAAGACCATACGAGCTGAAAACGTTCTTAATACATGAAATTTTCTTGGTCTTGCACTTGAAGTCATAATTGAAATCACCAGATATAAACAACAATAGCTTATTTTTAGTTGAAGACACCATAATTTTTCAAGATTCTGGCAAAAACAATAAAAATTTGTACCAGGAGGATGGTACATGATGCAAGCTATCAAACGGGTATTGTGGAAGGTTTCAATCATTGCTGTGGCAGTTTCAAAGTTCCTTTCAAGAGTTGGAGCACCAACGATCGACCGTGCTTGCTTGCAGAATTTCTGGTGCACAAAGAGTGCGACATCCCTAGCTCTAGAGTCTCTCCTGGAGAAGGTGGCTATTAGAATGTAGTTGCTAAGTATAAATTGAGAGGCATCTTCAATCTATATCTACCAATTTTAAACCCAATTCCATTCAACATCGCCAGAAAAGGGAGAAAACCGGCACTTTTGTCAAGTTTTTTGACCCTCTAAGGTTTTTGAAACCAATTCAAGGAATTATTCTATAACACTTTATCAAGTCACTTTTATCAAGTTTCTTGATACTTTCAACCCTTGATCTCCTAATACCGATTTGAAAACAAATTTGAAGACACTTTTTCAAGTCGTTGATATGAGAAAGTAAGGGTAGGTACTTCATCCAAAATTTAGAGAAAAAGGATAAAAACTGTACTCTGGTATAGGTATAGTTATATGTATTTCAAATTGTTGATTCCCAACCAATTGGGGAACCAATTCAAGGGATTATTCTAGAACATTTCATTGAGTCCCTTTAGAAGATAGTAGAATAGCACCATGTGACAATACATTTGATATCAAAATCCATTATAGAATAAAAACTTAAATTTTTATTCAAACAGAAGATTCATCACACTTAAATTTAAAATCAATCCACTTGTGATTCGCCGAATCGCAAAAAAATTAAAGTGCATTACGCGGTACGCGGTACTTTCACCTTAATGATCATTTGAGATAAGAACTTTTTTTTGTGTGCAAATGATGCAAGTCAGAGAAGCCCATTATAGTAAAATTTTAACAATTCAACAATAGCCTTGAATAATCTAGAAGTAAGATGCATTATTATCTTGAAAACCATCATAAAGTTCGAATTTTTATATCTGTTTTTAAAAGCAGTGAATCGTCAAATTCCTGACGTTTTCAATAGTCCTCTGAAATTATTTATTTTGCAACATCATAGTCAAGTTTACACAGTTTCCGCTGTATCACTGTCGATGAACTTTATAGATGGTTTATTGGAAACGATTGACTCAAGGATTAAATGATGATGCTTGATTTTCAGTTTTCAAATTGCATCATCACATCAATAATTTTTCTCGATAATTTCATTATCACTAGATCTGGTAAAGTTCTAGTAATAATTATTTCCATATATGAGCTATTGTTTGAAATGTATAACTTAACACAATTTAAAACCAGTTACTAATAATTCATATTAATTATCCTAAATTGTTTGTAATTTGCATTATTAAAATTGCGGTTTTCAGAAACACATGTTCATATTTTTAGGCTATCTTTATTCATAAGGACGGTTATCAGTTATTGATGAATCAACAATATCTGAAATGAATTTCATTTCTCCAAAACATAAGTTTAAAATCTCTCAACATATTTTTGAGTAAATTTGGGGCCTTTTCAAATCAATACCACTTTCTCTATTGATTGGTTAACAAAACAACGAATTTTTTCAGGTTGGGCTGTCCAGATTTTACAGATCCACCGACAAAGGCCACTCCAAACGAAGGTGGAACCAAGTCACTATTTTTTCCTGACGGCGCTGTTTTCGGTGGACATCCGAGGTTCATGAATTTGGTACGCAACATTAGAAAGAGACGCGGCGAACATGTGGCCATCAACTTACCAAGTAAGAAACTTTATTTATTTATTGATTGAGTTTACAACATTGAACTAAACACACTAAACATTTTATTGAGACGGATATACTTACAATTAAAAAATAATAATTTTCCCAATGAAATCAAATGTAATACAATATGCCTCTAGAAATGTTCTAGAGAGTTTATTTGAGAAAAACATAAATTATTCAATATTTCACATTTGTAAAACTCTTATATTGCAGTGTAATACAATACTTAAAGCTGTTTCCAATACAAATAAACCAATTGCATGCCTGAATTGAATTTTTAGATATAAATAAATAATAAACAGCTTGTGCAAGTCATAATTTTTTTTCGGTTTGTCTGTTCCGAGGTCACATCTCACATCTCATCGCTAATAGGTTTTAAAGGATCATTATTGAATAAATTAATGAAAAGTTTTCTGCAAGTCATGTAATGATTTTTCGGGAGTGTCTAGATCGAGGTTGTATTGTATTTCATCGTTAATAGTTTTTAAAGGAATTGAATAATATACAAAATCGATATGTTAATTTAGATTATTATTTAACTTGTATAATACATACTACTAATGGTAAAAATTTACTGATAAATTAGTTGGTACGAAAATCAAACAAGGAATACCTAACGTTAGTTTTACAGAATTCATTTTAGGAAACATTAAACATAATCATATGAGAAGAAGTCTTGTGTTTTATCACATCTTGAAGTTTTCAGGGATAAAAACACAAAAATTCCAGTGGACGACTCCCACACAATTCGGAAAGCGGCTTTGCCCGATTGCGTCTACCTGGACGCCATGGGATTCGGCATGGGCTGCTGTTGTCTACAATTAACATTCCAGGCTTGTAATATCGACGAGGCCAGAACCTTGTACGATCAACTTACTCCGTTGTGTCCTATAATGGTAAGAAGAACCAACTTCTTTAATAATTCTTTTAAATATTTTCCTATTTTTTTATTTTTATTTCTTTATTTAGTAAAAGAAAATACATTAAATTAATAAAAAAAATAAATAAATAATAACATATACCGAAGGTTGTTACAAATTCGTGAGTAAGCAAGAGGATCCACCTTTTCTTAACCTTGTCAAAAACAAAAATGAGATTTTTTTTTCTGATGGGTCGAAAGTCTTTGATCTCAGAACAGTTCGAAACTTTGGGAACCTACCATTCATCAGGAAATCTACCATTTAAAAGACACCGATTTACTATAAATGTAGTGCATTTATTGGGATGTGGAGTAATACAATTCAGCATTTTTGAGATGAGTTTATGTATTATTTTCTCGACAGAATCAGAGCTTACTTAAACAAAGTTGAAATCGTCAAAATTCCTATTTCTTTTATTACAATAATTTTGTAAAATGAGGTCTGGGTTATTGGCTGCGGGTTGGGGAAGAGAATCTTAAGAAGTAGTTATTGAAGTCATCAGCAGAAGCATCCACATTTTGATTCTGATTTAAATGAGATAAGATATAAAGATATTTTATGTCATACCAATACATTATTGTGTTTTTATACCTTAGATACCATCTACATAATTCATTACTTTATGCCTGTGCGGGCATAAAGTACACATTATGGCCCGCGCGGGCATAAAGACGCAAAAAACGGTTTTCAATTAACTTATTCTTTATCAACAAAATATAAATTTACGCTTATAAACATATTAATTTTGTCAAAAAGGATGATTTTGCACATTGATGACAATTTGCGGAGTGGCACTTCTTTCCCAGGTATTTATTATGTACAACCAACTGGTATGACATAAAAGTTTGTATGCACCACGGGTGCTAATAGATATATATATACCCTCGGGCGACTTACGAACCCTCGGGCCAGAGGCCCTCGGCTTTGTAAGACTGTCGCCCTCAGGGCATAATCATCTACTTAGTACCCTTGGTACATAAATAACTATTATTGTACGCCATCAGAATGACTTAGGATCGCGTTTGAAAGTATGTTGAAGAAATGCTTTTTTCTCCGGCCTAACAGTGATGTTAACCTGATCACGTGATGCCCTATACTCATTCCAGTTATTCTCAGTTTAAGGTTTCATACATACTTGAAATTGGAAAAAGCTTTGTTCCTAAGTCTCATCATGAATTTCAAATTATCCGTCAACCACGGAGCAAGACGTGGGCTGTGACTGAACTATTCTGTCGATATCATTGGCAAGAGAATACACATTATACTCTCAGTTCACAGCATGTAAGTCACGTAAGAATACATTGTAATCAAAATTTCTAACGTCACGATAATTTTTAAATCAGGGAGGAGGTTTGCCTTTTTATACTTAATTTTGACGGTAACTAATTTATAATCAGAAATATCAGTGAACTTATACGTTCCACTACTCTCAACTAACCACGAATCACTACAGACCAATAAATCTGAAAGAGTGTTGAAGAGTGCTATAACGCGAGTTGCATCAATGGGTGGTGTGAATAAAAACGGAGTACCTGCTACTACTACAAGCATTAGTATATTCTTCGTAGTATTTACTCCACAAAGAAGCATTTACTAATTTCCAGTAGTTTCGAAATGTAGTATCTACTTCGTTTTGAAGTAAATACTACGTAGAACATACTGTAGTAGTAGCAAGTACCTACTTCGTTTTTATTCATACCACCCATGACTCAATGTTTCATTCCGTATTTATCGAAAAAAATTTGAAGTTGGAAGGAACTAGGACTATTTGCGTCAGACATGTCCACATTCGGGTCACCCCTCACCCCCAAAGGCAATAAATCAAATTCAGGAATAAAATTCACAAGTGTCCTCCAGGGAGTCAGTACAGAAGGTAACACCTCCCCCTCGCCCATCTCGGTTCTGCCTGAGTATAGCTATAGTTAATCAAACCAACTCCCGTATTAACAACAGAGGGTCTCAACCATGTCTCCGACAAACCAGCAATATTAAAAAAGTGTTCAGCCATCATTTCAGAAAAATTATCAAACCCAGCGCACAATGAACGATCATTAAAATGGCTAAAATGTATAAATTCTTCTCGCATCTCGAATCCCAAATAACAGTCAAAGCTGGACAGAAATAAAATGCTTGAATTTAACTTGCAAGTTAACCTTAGAAATTATTAACGGTTTTCTTAACTTCCGTTACGTTGGACCTCCGTTAACTTTAGTCCGTTGCGTTCGTTATTGACGTCATTTTGTTTGCTTGAATTGCGCGTCAAAAGATCTGTTTGCACAGAATTTAAAAACCAGTTAGAGCGAATTTTATTGGTTGAAAATAGTCAGGAAACTGGTTGTTGGCGATTTGGACCAGTGGCGTAGCCAGGATTTTGTCTTGGGGGGGGGGGGGGGGGGGGCAAAGGACCTCGCACATTTCTTATGGAAAATGGCTTTCGGCTAAATTTTCTGAAAATTTGAGATAATGTAGTTCTTGATGTCCTGATTAAAATTTCTTATGGGCACAACTCAATCCTATGATCAGTTTTTGAGTTACGGGTTGTCAAAATTGGCTTTTTTAGACTTCGAGATATTGATTTTTTTTCAACATATTTGTTTATATTTCCTCGATAAGTACATTTAAATTGAAAGTTTTTACTCTTAAGTTTTAGGCGTTTTGGTGTCTTCTTAAAATGTGGTATAAAAGTTCCTACAGCGTCTTACACAAAATGGTGGCGGCAAAAAAATGTCAATTTAGAAAAAGTCGCAAATAACTAAATTCGATCAATTGTGTAGAATACAAAAACGAACGGCTAGATTTTGCCCTATTTTCAATATGTTGTTATCAAAAGTATACTTAAGAATACCCACTATAGTTTTGGATCCAAAATGTTATACCAGGTGTTCATTTTGTGCCAGGGCCCCGGTGTAGATGGTAAATGCCGACTGCAAGCGGGTTTCAAGTTCAAATGCTGTTCAATGGGCATTATTTAGTATCATTATCAAAAATTATTAGATTATAAAAATATTATTGTGAATTATACTGTTGTTATGTATACTGAAAATATTGAATAAATTATTATTATTATTATTATTAAAATTAAGATGGAACGTAGATATTTCCTGAATGATAGCATAGCTTATTACGCTATGCACAGAATCGCCTTCGTTTTGTCCGTGGAAAGACTCGAAGTCTTTCGAAACACTTTGTATCACTTGAAAACATCCCACAATTTTGCTTCAAACCAGTTAGCTATAATGAAGTCAGAGTTGCAATTTCAGCATTGAAAAATAGCAGTAGCAAAGATTGTAATGATATTAATTATTAATACAAAGGTAATAAAAACCTTAAAAAATTTGATTGTTATTCCCTTGACAAAACTAATAAATGAATCCTTGGCCAATTCTATATTTCCAGCAGTTTTTAAAATGGCAAAGGTGGTTCCGTTATATAAAGGAAAACGCTCAGTAGATGATCATACCAACTATCGTCCAATATCCCTTCTGCCAATTTTGTCCGAAGTGTTTGAGCGCATTATGAGGGATCAAATAAGTGAGCATTTTGAAGCCAATAACATTTTTGCTGTAAGTCAGTTCGGATGTCGAAAGAATAAAACAACAAGTTTGGCAATTATTCATCTTACAAACAATATCTTGGGGGGGTTTGAAAGTTTCTTGGATACCTATGCCTCATTTTTGGATCTTACTAAGGCGTTCGATTGTGTAACACATAGTATTCTCTTAGAAAAACTAAACTACTATAATTTTCATAACAGTGCAGTATTGTTGGTAAAATCATACCTTTCAAACAGATCGCAATATGTTTCTATTAACCAGGATTGTTCATCTAAGCTGTCCCTGAAGTATGGAGTACCACAAGGTTCAGTACTGGGACCCATATTATTTCTTGTGTACATAAATGATCTTGCTTCCACCCAGAACACAGCTGATACTGTTTTGTTTGCCGACGATACTACTTATTACCAGAGCATCCATCTGAAATGCATGACCTGGGTCTTGAGAATACTGAGAGTAAACTTATGGAATGGTTCCTATCCAACAAACTATCCCTCAATGACTCCAAATCGCAGTCGATGAATTTCACGCTGAGAAACACACAAACTGACCACCCACTTTTAGCAGACTGTGTTGAGGAGGTTAAATTTCTTGGGGTTTATCTGGATCCGGGCCTGACTTGGGAAAATCATATAGTCTATTTATCTAGGAAGTTGTCTAAATATCTGTTCTTGTTTCGTAATCTGGTGAAAGTCACCTCCAGGCAAACTGTTCTGATGGCGTATCATGGATATTTTCACTCAAACTTGTCTTATGCCATTTTATCATGGGGTCATTCATGTCATATAGATAAGGCTTTTGGACATCAGCGTAAATGTGTCCGTATCATATGTGGCTTGGGCTACAGAGAGGATGGGCTCTTTCACTAAAATTTAAATACGTAATTTAGGTATAAAATCCCAAAGGAGGGACTATTTTAGGCACATATACCAAAAAAAAATGTTCTACAAGGTTAAATAAGTTTTTTACAGGCATTTTAAACTACCAAAATTTGAATTATTTAAAAACGCGCCGATTTGCTGACGTCGCATAAATATTTTTCATTTCGCTTGTTGTTGCAAACAGCTGTCCGCCTCTGCTGTATTTATCCTGTAGTAAATGCAGGTAAAGGTTCGAATACGCTGTTGTCGGTGGTGACTAAATGTAGTGCAACGTAAAATAAATAAATAAAACTAAACATAGAAAATTATATTAAATTGTGTTTAAGCATAATTTCAATAAAAATGTTATAAAATCTTGAATCCATAACTAATTAATTTAACTACTTTTCATGAAATTTTGCGAACATTTCAGAATTAAATCTATTACAAATTTTCAATGTTGACAATTAGTGGCAACACGGTCAAATAGCGAGCTGCGACGTCATAGAAATAAATTCTGGGTTTTTATTTGGAGGTATTTCTTTTTTTTCTGTTTTCTCAA